AAAGCTGGGGGGCCACCACAGAGAAGGCCCTATCTCTCGTTCCCGCCAGCCGCACTTCTGAAGCTGGAGGGATAGAGAGAAGGGACTCTCCAGAAGATCTTAGGGTCCTGGTGGGCTGATAGGCTGAGATACGTTCGGATAGATAAGTTGGGCCAGAACCGAGTCCTTTGTCCCACCCTGGTCATTCCACAGATATATAAACCCCCTTTCCTAGTTCCAACAGACCTCACTACCTCTGAGGATGCTTGCCATAGATGCAGGCGAAACGTCAGGAGAGAATGCCTCTAGACCATGGCCATATAGCCGAAAAAACCTACAACAACCCAATTATGGATCTGGACCAAACTTGGCCCCAACAAGTTACAACGTCAAACATGGTACTAGGAAGTGTTCCATTCAATTCCAACATTTTATTCAGAAGGGAGATATCTCCAACTACTAAAAACAAGATTATTAAAATTCCAGGTTGAGGGGACTAAGTGGCTAAGAACACAGATTGACAATAACATACTTTTAGATGAAGAGGGACCATCTTTGAATACAGGCTATAGGTCTGAAACACATGCTTCCACATGTGTGTGTGAGGGAAGATGCTAGAGAATGGTTTCAAGAACCAAGGAACAGTTGCTGGGACCACAAGTTCTGAGGGACCAATCAGCTCTGCAGCTTGAACTTGACCTCCAGGTGGGCTTGCCGGGCCAGGGTCATGATCTGGGAGAGCTTGACGGCCATTTGGGCCGCCTGGTCCAGGTCGTCGCAGGGCAGGATCTTCAGGCCGCTCTTTGCGATCAAGGCTTTGGCGCTCTCCACTTGCGTTCCTTGCAAGCGCACCACGATGGGGACTTTGAGGTCCAGCTCCGAGGCGGCCAGGATGATGCCTTGGGCAATGATGTCGCATCGCATGATGCCCCCAAAGATGTTCACGAGGACTGACTGGACCCTGGCGTCCGACGTGATGAGCTTGAAGGCCTCCTTCACTTGCTCCGCGGTGGCCCCTCCGCCCACGTCGAGGAAGTTGGCCGGGGTTCCTCCGTGGAGCTTGATGATGTCCATGGTGGCCATGGCCAGGCCGGCCCCGTTGACCAGGCAGCCAATGTCCCCGTCCAAGGCAATGTAGTTCAGCTCCGCGTTGGCCGCCTCCCGGTCCCGCTCGTCCTCCTGGCTCCAGTCCCGAAGCTGGAAGATGCTCTTCTGCCGGAAGGCCGAGTTGCTGTCCAGGTTGATCTTGGCGTCGATGCAGACCACTTTCCCCGTTGAGTCTTCCACCATGGGGTTGATTTCCACCATCAAGGCGTCGTATTTGATGAAGAACTGGTAGAGCTTCACCATGTTGTGGGCCGCATCTTCTGCCACGTCGGCGGGGAATCCCATTTTCTGGGCCAGGCGCAGAGCCTGCTCTGTCCGGATGCCCTCCACGATGTCCACGGGTTCCTTGACGATGGCCTCGGGGTTCTCTGCGGCCACGTCTTCGATATTGACGCCCCCCTGGGCACTGCCAATGAGGACGGGGCCCTGGAAGGTGCGCTCCAGCGCAATGGCGAAGTAGTACTCTCTCTTGGGGTGCCGGCGCTCACAGATGAAGACCTCATTGCAGATCCGGCCTCTTTCCCCCGTCTGTTTGGTGAAGAGCTTCTTCCCGATCATCTGGGAAGCCATGGCCTCAGCCTCCTCTGGGGAATTCACAATCTTCACTCCACCTTGGAGGCCTCCTTCGAAGGTCCCTTTCCCCCGACCGCCAGCTAACACCTGTGCCTTGACCACCAGCTCATTGCTACCGATATTTTGGGCGGCTTTGTAGGCGTCTCCTGGTGTTCTGGCCACCATTCCATTCGGGACAGAGACACCCGCTTCTTTCAGGAGCCGCATGCTCACGTATTCGTGCAGCGACAGGTTCCTTAGGGGTTGTGTGGGGAAACCATGCCTGTAGGATCCCATGTGCCCACCAAACACTTTGGCTGCAGCATTAAAGGCTGCCAGGATCCTACTCCGGCCCATGAAGCCCGCTTGCAGCTCGTGGAATGAGGTTGGCCTTGTTTCTCTTCTCTTGTGTACTACTATTCTCCAACTGCCTTTTTACAGATCTACTCTCCAGAATTCTCTCTCCAACTGTTGGTGGCCTGTCTCCTCATTGGCTGGAAAAAGGATTCCAGGATGGCCTGGAATGGAGGCGACTGATGGACCAACACCAGAGCCACCACAATCCAACAAGATCTCCCTGGACAAGGCCTCAGGGAGACCAGGACTGGAATCTTTGTTCAGCCACAAACCTTGGCCAAGTCATACTCTCGCAGAAGAAGCCATGGTGACAACCTCCTCTGAAGAAAGAAGGTCAAGAAAACCCCAGCGAGATAGCTACAAAGGGCTTGGAGGCAGCCAACAGCAATGGGTCAAAAGACCTCTTGAAGGTGATCAAACATAGCGGACAGTCTGGCTAGGACCATTTTTGATGAGAAAAAGAACAACATCAGGCAAGATGTGGATGAGGTGACTAATGGACCAACACCAGAACCTCCACAATCCAACAAGATCTCCCTGGACAAGGCCTCAGGGAGACCAGGACTGGAATCTTTGTTCAGCCACAAACCTTGGCCAAGTCATACTCTCGCAGAAGAAGCCATGGTGACAACCTCCTCTGAAGAAAGAAGGTCAAGAAAACCCCAGCGAGATAGCTACAAAGGGCTTGGAGGCAGCCAACAGCAATGGGTCAAAAGACCTCTTGAAGGTGATCAAACATAGCGGACAGTCTGGCTAGGACCATTTTTGATGAGAAAAAGAACAACATCAGGCAAGATGTGGATGAGGTGACTAATGGACCAACACCAGAACCTCCACAATCCAACAAGATCTCCCTGGACAAGGCCTCAGGGAGACCAGGACTGGAATCTTTGTTCAGCCACAAACCTTGGCCAAGTCATACTCTCGCAGAAGAAGCCATGGTGACAACCTCCTCTGAAGAAAGAAGGTCAAGAAAACCCCAGCGAGATAGCTACAAAGGGCTTGGAGGCAGCCAACAGCAATGGGTCAAAAGACCTCTTGAAGGTGATCAAACATAGCGGACAATCTGGCTAGGAGCATTTTTGATGAGAAAAAGAACAACGTCAGGCAAGATTTGGACATCATGGGAGTGAAACAGTCAAGGACCATGTTCTATAAATGCAAATATCCCTCGGCACCGAGAAGTCTCCTTCGAATTGGAGTCCAGTTCAGGTAAGGGCCTTCATGCTTTTGGAGGAGGGGGCCAGGTGGTGTCCTGGTTACACCTCTTTCACTTTCTAAACATAGACAGGGAATTGTTTTAGAGTTGTGAAAGGAAACTCAAGGTGGAATTGTGGTTCAGAAAGAAAGAATGGCTTCCCATTTTAGGCTGTTCCGCACTGTAGAATGAATGCATCACCATGGTTCAATGCTATGGAGCACCATGCTCTGACCTACAAGAAGCACTGCCTGAACATCAAGCAAAAAGTGGGTGCTAGAAACAATATCATACGAAAGCTGACTGGCACAACCTGGGGATCACAACCAGACACAGTGAAGACATCTGCCCTTGCGCTGTGCTACTCTGCTGCTGAGTACGCATGCCCAGTGTGGAACACATCTCACCACGCTAAAACAGTAGATGTGGCTCTTAATGAGACATGCCGCATTATCACGGGGTGTCTGCGCCCCACACCACTGGGGAAATGACACTGCTTAGCCGGTATTGCACCACCTGACATCTGCCGGGAAGTAGCAGCCACTAGTGAAAGGACCAAGGCAGAGACATCTCCAGCTCATCCCCTGTTTGGGTATCAGCCAGCACGTCAGCGACTTAAATCAAGACATAGTTTTCTAAGATCTACAGAGACACTCGCTGGAACACCTCAGCAAGCGAGAGTCCAAAAGTGGCAGGCTCAAACCCAGCACCTCAATCCATGGCTGATACCCAATGAGAGACTCCCCCAGGGCACGGGGGTTTAGGGGTTCAACCCCCCCCCCCCGAAATGTTTCAGATTTTTAAAAAACCTGGTTTACTCATGAATTTTAACTGGTTAACCAAATCCCCCTGCTAAGTCTATGAGATGCAAAAAATTAAGAGTCCCTCCAGAACTGCAAGCACTATCTCAAGCAAATATTGACAATTTATTCACACTGTCATTACTTGCAGCAATAGCCGATGTAGTGAAGCAACCAAGTTGGGGGGGGGGGTGTTGAATGCTCTCATTAAGGAGGCCAGACTTGGTGGAGGTGGTTGACAGGGGCGGAGCTGTAGGCTATTGAAGGCTGCTCTGCCCCCTGCTGTGCTCTTTGCTTCAGCGTGAGCTAGGAGGCAGGTTTCAACCCTCCCCCTGCGAAATTTTCAACCCCCCCGACCCGAATTTTTTTTCTGGCTACCGACTTGCCAATGAGAGACTCCCCCCTGGACACACAGAGGACTGGGCGACTTGGAAGGCGCTGAACAGACTGCGCTCTGGCACCACGAGATGCAGAGCCAACCTCAAGAAATGGGGCTACAGGGTGGAATCCTCGGCATGCGAGTGCGGAGAAGAGCAAACCACTGACCACCTGCTGCAATGCACCCTGAGCCCTGCCACATGCACAATGGAGGACCTTCTTGCGGCAACACCAGAGGCACTCCAAGTGGCCAGATACTGGTCAAAGGACATTTAATCAACTACCAAGCTTGCAAATTCTGTGTTTTGTCTGTTTGTTTGTTTTTGTTAAAAATGTAATACAAATGTCTGGTTGCTGATGACACGATAAATTAAATGCTATGGAACCTTGGGAACTATAGTTTCACAAGTTCTTTCGCCTCCCCTGCCAAAGAGTGCTGATATCTCACCAACCTACAGCTCCCATGATTCCACAGCACTGAGCCACATGGAGTAAAAGTGGTGCCAAACTACATCAATTATACAAGTTACTTCCTTTGAACCAACAGGATCCAATGGGTCTATTTGAGTTGGGAGAAACCAACTGGAATTTATTCTGTGCCTGGTTATTGAGGGGACGAATGAGGCTGTGGGAGATTGCAGATATCAAGGTAATTATGTGGAGGTGATGGCATCATGAAGCCTTTGCCCTCCCTCGGCCAATGGGAAGCCAGGCTCGGACAGTTGGAGATGGAACTCTGCGGAACTGTTTTGTGAAAGGACAGTTGGGAGTTCTGCTGGAGAAGGGAAGTCGGAGACCGTGTCCCGCCATGATGTGCAGCCAGGTTGTGAGGGTGGCCAGGCTGATGGTCAAGGGGAGTGGCCGGAGGATCCTGAGCGCCACGGTCCAAGCTCTGGGGTCCAGCCGGGGATTCTTTACCACCCGCGGACGGCCAGTGCTGCAGCAGCAGCTGCGAGATCTGTCTCTGCACGAATACTTGAGCATGAAGCTCTTGAAGGAAGAGGGCATCCCTGTCCCTTTCGGTTTGGTGGCCAGAACTCCCGAGGAGGCTTACACGGTGGCCAGAAAGATTGGCACCGATGACCTGGTGGTCAAGGCTCAGGTGCTGACCGGAGGCCGGCAGAAAGGGGTCTTTGAAGGGGGCCTGAAAGGAGGGGTGCAGATGGTCTGCTCCCCAGAAGAAGCCAGGGCGGTGGCCTCCAAAATGATCGGGAAGCGGCTGTTCACTCAGCAGACGGGCGAGAAGGGCCGCATCTGCAACCAGGTCTTCATCTGCGAGCGCAAGTACCTCCGGCGGGAGTACTACTTTGCCATCAGCATGGAGCGGGCCTTCCAGGGCCCCGTCCTCATCGGCAGCTCCCAAGGAGGGGTCCTCATTGAGGACGTGGCTGCCGACAACCCCGGGGCCATCATCAAGCAGCCGGTGGACATCATGGAAGGCATCACCGAGGAGCAGGCTGTGCGGCTGGCCCAGAAGATGGGCTTCCCTGCCCACCTGGTGTACGAGGTGGCCGACAACATGATTAAGATCTACAACTTCTTCATCAAATACGACGCCATCTTGCTCGAAATCAACCCGTTGGTGGAGGACTCCATGGGGCAGGTGATGTGCATGGACGCCAAGATCATTTTCGACAGCAACTCGGCCTTTCGCCAGCAGAAGATCTTCGAGCTGCAGGACTGGACCCAGCTGGACGAGCGAGACCGGGAAGCGGCCAATGCGGAGCTGAACTACATCGCTTTGGACGGCAACATCGGCTGCCTGGTCAACGGGGCGGGCCTGGCCATGGCCACCATGGACATCATCAAGCTCCACGGAGGCACCCCGGCCAACTACCTCAACGTTGGAGGCAGCGCCACTGTAGAGCAAGTCACGGAGGCCTTCAAGCTCATCACCTCCAACGAGAACGTCCAGGCCATTCTGGTCAACATCTTCGGGGGGCTGATGAGGTGCGACGTCATCGCGCACGGCATCATCATGTCGGCCAAAGACCTGGACCTCAAAATCCCCATCGTGGTGCGGCTGCAAGGCACGCGGGTCAAGGACGCCAAGGACTTGATTGCGGAGAGCGGCCTGAAGATCCTTCCCTGCGATGACCTGGACCAGGCGGCCAAAATGGCCGTGAAGCTCTCCGAGATCATGGTCCTGGCCAAAGAGGCCCAGGTAGACGTCAAGTTTCAGTTGCCATCTTGATGGTGATGCCCACCTCCTTCCTCTCTTTATGCAGAAGCGAAATCCTTCCCAATAAACTAATTGAAGAGCTTGTCAACAAAGATCTATTTCTTCCAAATCACACATTCATGCTAAGTAGTATTGCGTTTGTCTCCACAATCAGCCTTCAAGCTGATTGTGGAGACAATCACAGATATATAAACCCTTTTTCCCAGTTCCAACAGACCTCACTACCTCTGAGGATGCTTGCCATAGATGCGGGCTAAACGTCAGGAGAGAATGCCTCTAGAACATGGCCATATAGTCCGAAAAACCTACAACAACCCAGTGATTCCGGCCATGAAAGCCGGATCTTGGGAGCCAATTCTGTTGAGGTTTTGCCTTTCCAAACTGTTTTCAGACCAGGGAGGCCTCCTTTCAGAAGCCAGATTCCAACTTGTTTCTCCCACCTCAAGTGTGTGAAAATGGAAGCTGACACAAGACACCCATAAATAGTAAAACTAAGCACAGACAATGTTTATTTAAAGATACACATTTTTGGAAAAATAACTTTGGGAACATATCAAAGACTTCAACCAGACTTCAACAAACTTCAAACTACCCTACTATTGAAAAAAAAAAGGGGGGGGGGAGGGATGGGGCCCTCCAGATATTGTTGAACTACACCTCCCATCAACCCCAACCATTGGTCACATTGGTTGGAGCTGATGGGAGTTGCGGTCCAACATTACCTGCAGGGCCACAGGCTTCCCACCCTTGCTATGGAAAACAGACTAATATCCTACCAAGTGTGATGCAGAAATAAGGAAATGCGCAGCCTCAATCTCCCCCAGGTCACGCACCTTCCGAGTCTCATTGAGGTCAATGACAGAGGTGCGCAAGCAACTCTTCCATTGGCACCTATGAGGCTAGGAAGGTCCTGACTGGCGTCTTGGACCATAGGTCCCTATTCATTCTTGATATAGATGATTTTGTGCTTCTCCAGGACCTTGATGTCCTCTTCCAGCTGCTTCATCTCCAACTCCATTTTCTCTTTGCGGAGTTTCCTCGAAACCGAATCGATCACCACGGAGAGGGCCTGGAACTCCTTATTGACCTCTTCCCAGTTCGTCTTGAGGCCCTGCGGGGAGTCAATCAGACACAGAGAGCTTAATGGGTCTTAGGGTTGGATAGGTTCGTTTTAGGGTTGGATAGGTTCGTTCGGAAGAGCCTGAAACTCGTAAAAAACTTCCAACTTCCGACTTCCGAAGCAGTTTTGATCCATGCAGGAAAGGTGGGAGGGGCACATCCAAATTTGAACCACTAGCCTTTTTTTCCTGGAAATACGAGGGGTATTTTTAAAGTAAGGTCCATTGGAACATAAGTACACAACGAAAGTTTATTTCAAAAAAGTAAATTTATTTTCAGAAAGTACATACTTCACTCTATTTTTTGACATAGTTGCCAAGTTTGTTCAAACACTTATCATACCTCTGAACCAATTTTAAAATACCCTCTTCATAAATCCTCGCTTCAACTGAAGCCACCAAATCGTCTGTAATCAAAGAAGGGTGACCGGAGCGGTCCTCATCCTGGACGTTGTCACGGCCATCTTTGAATTGTCGTACCCACTTACGCACTTTGCTTTCACTCGTCACAGTCTCACCGTACACTTCACAAATCTGTCGAAGGATTTCTGCAGCAGGCAGGTTCCTTGCTGACAAAAACCGTATCACTGAGTGAACCTTACATGCGGAGGGTGAGTTGAGAGTCTTAAACATTTTTAAAGCACAGAACAGAACCGTACAGGTGAGCTACAGAGCGGAAACTGAGCACAGGTGTTCCCGAGGCATGCCGGTACACGACGCACGCGCTCGTTGTGGTATGCGCGCGAACTACTAGTGTCTACAACACAACGGACCTTACTTAAAAAATACCCCTCGTAGTGCATAATGTTCAGATGTCTCCCAAGGTTATTTTAATTTTCAGAACCATCAAGCAACTTTGGTAAAGCCTAAAAAGTTTGAAAATCTCATGCTTTCCCTCCCCCGGAAATACAAGGAAGGGATGAAGTGGGCATTAGGGTTGAGCAAGTTCATTCGGAAGCTTCTAAAATCGGAATTAATTCGGAAAAAAAACCCTTTTGAACCAATTTTGAGCCATGCAGGAATAGTGGGAGGAGTAATTCCGAATTTAATCCGCTTACCCATTGTTCGGAATTATTTTCGGATGTCTCCCACAGTTATTTTGATTTTTAGAACAATTAAGCAACTTTGGCAAAGCCTCGCGGTTTCCCTTTTGGGTCCTTCAGCCATTTTGGCTAATGAGCAGCAAGGCTGGGAAATGTAGTTTAACAGTGGGAAATGTAGTTTAACAGCAGGGCCTTTTGCAATATCTACCACTGGGGACGTGGTCTTCAGGAAGAGCTGTTCTTAGCCACGCCCACCTCGTCCCTCTGCATCGCCCTTCACCGCCAGCCAGGGAAGGGAAACTGCGAGATTTTAAAACTATTTGTTTAGGCTTTCTGTCTTTGTCAAAGTTACTTAATGGTTTTGGAGGGAGGGAGGGGCACCTTCCATTAATGAAGCAAACGAAGCAATTCGGATTTCTGCTATTTCCGATCTTTTTTTTCAAGAAAATTTCAGAAATCATTTCAAAATCGAATCGCCAGCGCCCCCTATATACGAAATGAGCTTAGAACCTTTTTTTCTTGATCACCCAAGAAGGTGGGCATGCTAAGCACAGCCATTGTTATAGTTTGTGAAGGCCAGGCCCCCAATGATACAGATTGCAAAAGGTCCTGCTGTTAAACTACATTTCCCACACTGCCTTGCTGCTCATTAGCCAAAATGGCTGAAGGACCCAAAATAGCTGTCTGTAGTAGTCATCCTCTTGATATAAAATAAACTGATTTAATCTACAAAGTTGTCTAAAGAAGGAAGCAAAGCAATCAGCAATGTTGCTGAATCCTATTCCAAGCACATGGGGATGGAAGCCACCGGATGGAAGTTCAAATGGAAGCCCACCACAGATTCAGGGCCATCACCACATGGGGATGGAAGCCACCGGATGGAAGTTCAAATGGAAGCCCACCACAGATTCAGGGCCATCACCACATGGGGATGGAAGCCACCGGATGGAAGTTCAAATGGAAGCCCACCACAGATTCAGGGCCATCACCACATGGGGATGGAAGCCACCGGATGGAAGTTCAAATGGAAGCCCACCACAGATTCAGGGCCATCACCACATGGGGATGGAAGCCACCGGATGGAAGTTCAAATGGAAGCCCACCACAGATTCAGGGCCATCACCACATGGGGATGGAAGCCACCGGATGGAAGTTCAAATGGAAGCCCACCACAGATTCAGGGCCATCACCACATGGGGATGGAAGCCACCGGATGGAAGTTCAAATGGAAGCCCACCACAGATTCAGGGCCATCACCACATGGGGATGGAAGCCACCGGATGGAAGTTCAAATGGAAGCCCACCACAGATTCAGGGCCATCACCACATGGGGATGGAAGCCACCGGATGGAAGTTCAAATGGAAGCCCACCACAGATTCAGGGCCATCACCACATGGGGATGGAAGCCACCGGATGGAAGTTCAAATGGAAGCCCACCACAGATTCAGGGCCATCACCACATGGGGATGGAAGCCACCGGATGGAAGTTCAAATGGAAGCCCACCACAGATTCAGGGCCATCACCACATGGGGATGGAAGCCACCGGATGGAAGTTCAAATGGAAGCCCACCACAGATTCAGGGCCATCACCACATGGGGATGGAAGCCACCGGAACATCTCCAGAACATCCAGAGTTCACACTGTGGGGAAATTGCTACTGCAATGGCATAGGATATGTGGCTCTCTACAATTGGGAGGTCTCCTTTAAAATTCCTGATGCTGAGTGAACGTTTGTACCTCAATGACTTTCTCTCGCTCCTCCTTGGAGAGTTGGGTCAAACCGTGTTTCCGAATGCTCTCCCTCACGTAGGCCTCCCTCTCCTCCTGGGCCATCTGTGCCTCCATCTTCCACTTCCTAATGTACTTCGGAGTGGCACCGAAATCCTGCAGAAAGGAACAAGGCAGCCATAGTTGGGTTGGTTTCTCCCCAGATTGAAGAAGACTTGCTGGACCAAGTGTTGACTAGAGTCAACTCTGAAGGAAACCCCTCTGGAATTAAATAAGTCTTCTCCAGCTGGGATTAACAATGGGATTGTAGATCCCATCTTCCTCATCCAAAATGTAGGAGGACATAATGAGATGTCTTGGGATGGGACCTAAGTCTAAACATGGAATTCATTTATGATTCATATGCACCGCATACATGTAGCCCAGCTATGGGCAAACTTTGGCCCTCCAGGTGTTTTGGACTGCAACTCCCACAATTCCTAACAGCCTACCGGCTGTTAGGAATTGTGGGAGTTGTAGTCCAAAACACCAGGAGGGACAAAGTTTGCCCATGGCTGGTGTAGCGTAACAGTAGTTTTATATACAATAATTTACATAATTTTGTGTACAAAACAAAATATTGTATCCACTGAATTATCCAAAAGCAAATATGCCACTATTCAACTACTTGGGTGGTTGAGTTTTGGAGCATTTCGGATTTTGGAATTCCAGATAAAGGATACTCAACCTTTATTTTGAAATATCAATTTTCATGTTTTTAAAAGCCAGACTATAACGCCATACAATCCTTAAAGAATACATATAGTAAGCATGGCTGTTTAATGGGTTGTTGTAGGTTGTTTCGGGCTATATGGCCATGGTCTAGAGGCATTCTCTCCTGACGTTTCGCCTGCATCTATGGCAAGCATCCTCAGAGGTAGAGGTCTGTTGGAACTAGGAAAATGGGTTTATATATCTGTCCACATGCTGGTGGATTTCAATGGCTTCTCTGTGTAGTCTGACATGGTGGTTGTGAGAGTGGTCCAGCATTTCTGTGTTCTCAAATAATATGCTGTGTCCAGGTTGGTTCCTCAGGTGCTCTGCTATGGCTGACTTCTCTGGTTGAAGGAGTCTGCAGTGCCTTTCATGTTCCTTGATTCGTGTTTGGGCAATGCTGGGGGACAACTGCTCGTCCTCACAACCGTTGATTTGTGGGGTCCCGCAGGGTTCAATTCTGTCCCCCATGTTATTTAACATCTACATGAAGCCGTTGGGAGAGATCATCCGGAGTTTCGGGGTGAGGTGTTATCTGTACGCAGATGACGTCCAGCTCTGTCACTCCTTTCCACCTACTACTAAGGAGGCTGTCCAGGTCCTGAACCGGTGCTTGGCTGCTGTGTCGGACTGGATGAGGGTGAACAAATTGAAACTCAATCCAGACAAGACAGAGGTACTCCTGGTCAGTCGAAAGGCCGAACAGGGTATAGGGTTACAGCCTGTGTTGGACGGGGTCGCACTCCCCCTGAAGACGCAGGTTCGCAGCTTGGGTGTGACTCTGGATTCTTCGCTAAGCTTGGAACCCCAAGTCTCAGCGGTTTCCAGAGGAGCATTTGCACAGCTTCGGCTCGTGCGCCAGCTGCGCCCGTATCTTGGGAGGTCGGACTTGGCCACGGTAGTCCACGCTCTTGTCACATCCCGGATTGACTACTGCAACGCGCTCTACGTGGGGTTGCCCTTGAAGACAGCCCGGAAGCTTCAGATGGTCCAGCGCACGGCAGCCAGGTTGCTAACAGGGGCGGCACTCAGGGAGCACACCACTCCCCTGTTGAGCCAGCTCCACTGGCTGCCAATTCGCTACCGGGCACAATTTAAGGTGCTGGCTTTAGCCTATAAAGCCCTACACGGTTCCGGCCCCACTTACCTCTCCGAACGCATCTCCTCCTACAAACCGGTAAGAGCGTTAAGATCTTCCGGGGAGGCCCTGCTCTCGGTTCCGCCGGCGTCACAAGTGCGGCTGGCAGGCACGAGAGACAGGGCCTTCTCGGTGGTGGCCCCTCGGCTATGGAATGCGTTACCGGTGGACATCAGGCAGGCCCCTTCGTTGCTGGTGTTTCGGAGGAGGGTGAAGACGTGGCTCTACGAGCAGGCTTTCGGATAACCATGTAGTAACAACTAACTCAATAATGATGGCATCGGACAAGGAATGGAAAAAGGATTATGAGATCGGAATCTGATTCTATGTGTGGCGTTGATGATTATGTGTCGTGTTTGTAATGTGTGTCTCATATATTGTTCAGTGTTGCTTATTTTTACTGTAAACCGCATTGAGTCGCCGCCAAGGCTGATATATGCGGTATACAAATGAAGTAAATAAATAAATAAATAAATAAATGCTGCTGCGTTTGGGGGTCCCTATGGAGACTTCTTGTCCACAGCTGCATGGGTTTACGGTAGACTCCTGCAGAAGTGAGAGGATCCCTCTTGTCCTTTGCTGAGCGGAGCATTGGTTGGATTTTCCTGGTGGGTCTGTAGATAGTTTGTATGTTGTGTTTCCTCATCAGCTTCCCTAGGGAAGCTGATGAGAAAACACAACCTACAAACTATCTACAGACCCACCAAAAAAATCCAACAAATGCTACGTTCAGCAAAGGACAAGAGGGATCCTCTCACCTGTGCAGGAGTCTACCGTATACCATGCAGCTGTGGACAAGTCTACATAGGGACCACCAAACGCAGCATTGCCCAAGCACGAATCAAGGAACATGAAAGGCACTGCAGACTACTTCAACCAGAGAAGTCAGCCATAGCAGAGCACCTGATGAACCAACCTGGACACAGCATATTTGAGAACACAGAAATGCTGGACCACTCTCACAACCACCATGTCAGGCTACACAGAGAAGCCATTGAAATCCACAAGAAGCATGTGGACAATTTCAACAGAAAGGAGGAAACCATGAAAATGAACAAAATCTGGCTACCAGTATTAAAAAACTCTAAAATTGCAACAGCACAACAACAGAGAAGAAACAAACAAGGACATCTAATCACCTCTCAACAAAAGTTTGCTCCAGGCACTGTCAGGCCATTATATGCTAATCAAGGTGGTCAGTTGAAACATTCACACCTAGCTCCAGCAGACAAGAGTCCTTTGTCCCACCCTGGTCATTCCACAGATATATAAACCCCTTTTCCTAGTTCCAACAGACCTCACTACCTCTGAGGATGCTTGCCATAGATGCAGGCGAAACATCAGGAGAGAATGCCTCTAGACCATGGCCATATAGCCCGAAAAAACCTACAACAACCCAGTGATTCCGGCCATGAAAGCCTTCGATAATACATGGCTGTTTAATGCTATCACTTTTAGGAATGCAATTAGTGGAGAGCACCTAGGAGGACTTGGCAAGATATAACATACTGTATTGCTCCGATTGTAAGACACCTTTGATTGCAAAACACATTCTAATTTCAGTGCCACCGAAACCATCAACAGAAATACATAAGATATGCCTGCAATGCTAAGACGCACCCATTTTTTCGAGTGTTTATATAGGAAAAAGCATGTTGTAGAACTTTTTGGGATTCCTCATCTTCGGAGGAGGAAGGGGAGCAGGGAAGTGCTCAGGAATTGGAAGGAGAAGAAGAATCAGATGATGAGAGTTTGAAAGTGCCCGCATTTCTAGAGAGACAAAAAGAGACAGAGCACAGAAGGTGTTCAGCCAGAATAGCTGCTAAAAACACTGAGCTAATTGGGAGACACCCTAGCACCTCCTGCGTGGGGAATTCAGGGCTATAAATCAGAGGCAGGAGCATAGAATCATAGAATCAAAGAGTTGGAAGAGACCTCATGGGCCATCCAGTCCAACTCCTTGCCAAGAAGCAAGAATATTGCATTCAAATCACCCCTGACAGATGGCCAGTCAGCTTTCACTGGTAACAATGACCCTGATACTGATGTTTTCAGGGTGGAATCCGCTTTGTGTCTGCTACTAAGGACTTCGTTCATTGCCCGTTGTCTGATGGAAGACTGGTGTTTCTTTTGGGATTTTGTAAGAGACTTTAATTTGTGTCTGCATTAAGACTTCCTTGCTTTCTTTTGTATTTTTCAACTGCATTTGCTTATCCTTTGTGTTTGCTGAAGTAAAGCATTTTTCTTTTACTTTCAACATTGTCTAAAGGCTGTTTTTGAAGGGCAACTCAGGACACTGCCGAACGGTGCCAGCTGTGCAGTTTCCCCTGACATTATGTCTCTAGAGCATAGTGTCTAGATCTAGGGAAGTCATGCTCCCCATGGTCTATTCCGCTTTGGTTAGACCACACCAAAGAATTGTGTCCAATTCTGGGCACCACAATTCAAGAGAGATATTGACAAGCTGGAATGTGGCCAGAGGAGGGCGACTAAAATGATCAAGGGTCTGGAGAACAAGCCCTATGAGGAGCGGCTTAAGGAGCTGGGCATGTTTAGCCTGAAGAAGAGAAGGCTGAGAGGAGATATGATAGCCATGTATAAATATGTGAGAGGAAGCCACAGGGAGGAGAAGGGAGCAAGCTTGTTTTCTGCTTCCTGGAGACTAGGACGCGAACAATGGCTTCAAACTACAAGAGAGGAGATTCCATCTGAACATGAGGAAGAACTTCCTGACTGTGAGAGCCGTTCAGCAGTGGAACTCTCTGCCCCGGAGTGTGGTGGAGGCTCCTTCTTTGGAAGCTTTTAAACAGAGGCTGGATGGCCATCTGTCAGGGGTGATATGAATGCAATATTCCTGCTTCTTGGCAGAATGGGGTTGGACTGGATGGCCCAGGAGGTCTCTTCCAACTCTTTGATTCTATGATTCTATGATTCTATGATTCTATGAAGGGGAGCAGGGAAGTGCTCAGGAATTGGAGGGAGAAGAAGAATCAGATGATGAGAATTTGAAAGTGCCTACATTTCTAGAGATACAAAAAGAGATAGAGCACAGACAGCATTCAGCCAGAATAGCTGCTAAAAACGCTGAGCTAATTGGGAGACACCCTAGCACCTCCTGTGTGGGGAATTCAGGGCTATAAATCAGAGGCAGGAGCAGTCAGCTTTTGCTGGTAACAACAACTCTGATGCTGATGTTTTTATTCCAATGAAATCTGCTTTGTGTCCGCTGCTAAGGACTTCGTTCATTCCCCGTTGTCTGATGGAAGGCTGGTGTTTCTTTTGGGATTTTGTAAGAGACTTTAATTTGTGTCTGCATTAAGACTTCCTTGCTTTCTTTTGTATTTTTCAACTGCATTTGCTTATCCTTTGTGTTTGCTGAAGTAAAGCATTTTTCTTTTACTTTGAACATTGTCTAAAGGCTGTTTTTGAAGGGCAACTCAGGACAAAACTGAAGAAATACAGTAAAGGTAAAGGTTTCCCCTGACATTATGTCCGGTCTTGTCTGACTCTGGGACTCTGGTGCTTATCTCCATTTCTAAGCTGAAGGGCTGGCGTTGCCCGTAGACACCTCCAAGGTCATGTGGCCGGCATGGCTGCATGGAGCGCCGTTACCTTCCCACTGAAGCGGTACCTATTGATCTACTCACATTTGCATGTTTTCAAACTGCTAGGTTGACAGAAGCTGGGGCTAACAGCAGGAGCTCACCCCACTCCACAGATTCAAACCACCGACCTTCCAGTCAGCAAGTTCAGCAACGCAGCGGTTTAACCTGCTGCACCACCGGGGGCTCCAGAAATACAGTAATTGTGTGTTATCCCAATTCTTAATGGTGGGAAATAGCAGTGCGCTTTTAGTTTTAATTTCATGGCTTGCTATTTAAATCATTCATCTCTCACTCTGTCTCCGGGGGCCTCGGGGAAATGTTAGATGCTTTCAAGAAATTAAACATTTAAAAGGACACAAAGCATTGAGACATAGTAAGGCATGTTAAAACACTTTTGGGAGAAAGCGATTCGGCCCCAAAGGCTTGGCGGACAAGCTGGGTTGTCGCTCTCAGCGATTATATGCACCAGGGGCTGCCTGTTGGAGTTCAGCCTGTGATTGGGTCTAATGATCAGGGTACTGTGGATGCAGGGAATGACAATGTGGTTCATGTTCCAACCACATTCTTCTGATGGGAATGTTCCTGAAGGCATTGGGGATGATGGTCTGTCTCCTGGGCCTGAATTGTTACAAGAGGATTCTCAAGGCCTTGATCCTGGTCCAAGTTAATGAGCCTCTGAACAGAAGAAAACCCTATACGGTTCCGGCCCAGTGTATCTGTTCGAATGGATCTCCCTCTACGTCCCACCTCGGAATCTAAGATCTTCTGGGGAGGCCCTGCTCTCGACCCCGCCTCTATCACAAGTGAGATTGGCGGGGACGAGGAGCAGGGCCTTCTCAGTGGTGGCCCCTCACCTGTGGAATTCACTCCGTGGGGAAATTAGATCAGCGACATCCCTCCTTTCATTCAGGAAAAAATTGAAAACATGGATGTGGGACCAGGCATTTGGACAATCGGGCAGATAAAGAAGGACCTCAACGATGGACAGGAACTGACAAAATGGAATGGAATTATGGAACTCTGAAAGACGAACGCTGAGCTTGAGATTAGTTTTTATTGAATATGTTATATACTGACTGTTTTAACTGTGTTTAATTGTTTGCTGTTTTTATACGTATGTATGTTCTATATAGGCATCGAATTGCGCCTTTTTGTAAGCCGCCCCGAGTCCCCCCTCGGGGGTTGAGAAGGGCGGGGTAAAAGTACCCGAAATAAAAATAAATAAATAAGAAATACTTTCAATCAGCGAAGACAAACAAACCAGGCTCTCATGCGCTCAGCCAGATTACAACAGAGGCTGGTTGGCAATCCAAGGCTGAGAAAGAATCCGTTCTTGGCCGCATGGGAAACTCGGTTGTAGAGATAGCAGGGATAAAAAGTGTCAAGCACAGAATCTGTAACCAGACGAAGCAATGTTGGAATTAGGTCAAGATCTCATCTCAGGTTCCTGGATGCCTTGCTTTGCATTGATTCCTGTATTAAGTGCCTTGTTATTCACGTTAAAGCCCTTTGTTTGATTCATGTTTAGGTACTTTGGGTTTTTTGCCTTAGAAGTTCCAGTACTTGTTTTCATGGACTCTTTTGGACTATTTTCCTGGATTTTCTGTTCCTATCTATCTTTTCTACCTATTTGGATTTAATGTATTGTCAAAGGCTTTCATGGCCGGAATCACTGGGTTGTTTTAGGTTTTTCCGGGCTATATGGCCATGTTCTGGAGGCAATTTTTCTCCTGACGTTTCGCCTGCATCTATGGCAAGCATCCTCAGAGGTAGTGAGGTCTGTTGGAAGCAGGAAAAATGGGTTTATATGTCTGTGGAATGACCAGGGTGAGACAAAGGACTTTTGTCTGCTGGAGCTAGCTGTGAATGTTTCAGCTGATCAACTTGATTAGCATTCAATGGCTTGGAAGTGCCCGGGGGGAATCTTTTGTTGAGAGTGATTTTATGTGCCTGTTTGTTTCCCCTCTGTTGTTTTGCTGTTGTAATTTTTGAGTTTTTTAATACTGGTAGCCCGATTTTGTTCATTTTCATGAACAAATTTACTTTTGGATTTACTTTTTACTGTGGATTATTTTTACTGCTACTGCTTTTAGTTATCTTCAATAAACTGCTTGCTATCTTACTCAGCTTTATGGTGTTTGAAGTCAGAGGGATTCCTGGCCTGGAGTGCAGCACTGCCATGGATCCATCCCCTCTCCTCCCTCTTTGCCTCTCACCTTCTTGTTGCGGTACTTTATGACGAGGCCGGAGTTTTCGATGAGGAACTTGTCCCCTTTGCGCACGTCGACGCAGGCGCGGAGGGGCTTCTTGGCCACCGCCATGATGGCCTCGGCAACATTGGTGGAGATGTAGTCCTTCCTGCTCTGGATGCCCATCACGGGGGGCTCCGTCCGCTTTGGCACCCGGGCCTCCGCAGGCCTCTTGCTCCCAGGCGCCCTCCGGCCTGCCTCCGTTGGGAAAGACACACAACAGCAGCCGTTATAACACACACCCTGGCCCCAAACACAGGAGACCCACAACTGTCCATCCCTGCCGTTTACCCATCCACTGACACTCTATTTAATATTTCCACTGAACTTGGGATCCTTTCTAGCCAGTCTAAATCTTGGTATCATGGAAGAACATTAGATAGAAATGCTCCAGCATAAACATTAGATAGAAATTAGATAGAAATTAGATAGAAATGCTCCAGCATGCGTAAAATACAGTTCTGATGGACATGTGATGACACACCTGTGGAATGACTAAGTGGGTAATGATGAAATACCTAAAGGGGTCGGCAAAAATTGATGAGTCATGATCATGTGTTCAGAGTCAACAGAGACAATGCAAGAGACTCCACTTAGGCAGAAAAAAAGAAATGCAAAGAAACAGGATGGGAAACGATGCCTGGTTCGACAGCAGGATGTGTGGAAAAGATCTTGGAGTCCTTGTGGGGAGGAAGGGGAACATGAACCAACAATGTCATGCGGCAGCTTAAAAAGCCAATGGGATTTTGGCCAGCATAAATAGGAGACTAGTGGCTAGATCCAGGGAAGTCATGGGGAAAATACTGGTATTTTGAATGTTAATTTCAAAGATAGTATGTTTCTATGTATTATACAATAAAAAATACAAAAAAAAACCCATTTCATTTTTCTGAGTGTCCTCCTTGGTTTTCCCAGTTCCTCCCAGTGTTTACCTTGTCAGTGTATGATTTATGTATGATGTATGTTTAAATGCAATTTTATGTGATAGGATTGTAATAGATTGTAATAGAATTGTATTGCCAGGATGTAGTTTGACACAGAAGGGTTAATACAGCAAAGGAACCGGCTGTGAGAATGTGACCCTGAGTTCTTGCTGTGTGCAAGATTAGGGAGTGCCAAAGAGATAAACTCCCTTCCAACTGCAGTTTGTTGTGTGCCTATCTCTTTCGGTTTGTGTTCTTCTCGTCTGTCTGCTGATGGTGCATGTTGTATGTTTTGTGAGCTGCTTTAGTAAAGCTGAAACCTGCTTTTACCGGGAGACTCCAGAGTCCATTATTCTGTGCTTTTGCTCTGCTCTGCTGCATGCCAACATGCCATCACTTTTGTTCTGGATGGAGGTGTCGCCCCACGGGTCCCCTTTAACTGCTACATCCCATGCTACGAAAATCCTGGGATGTGTACTTTGGGGAGATGCTATCATTCCCTGGCAATGGATTCCAGATTCCATATTCCAACAGATGGGAAGAGCACTTCTCCTGATTCTGTAGGACTGTAACCCCAATCGGTCCTAGCCAAGGGGAGGATGATGGGAGAGGCAGTCCAGCAACATATGTCCTGCCTTACGTGATACGGGGCCACAAGGCCAAGGACTCACGCTTTGGGAGCGCAGGCGTCTTGGAGTGTTTCCGGAGGAAGTCTTTTGGGGTGGGGACCTGGAGCTTGGGGATCCCCATCGTTCGGCAGGGGTCCGTCTTCCTCTCCTCTATTTCACGTTTGACGGACGGCTTGAATTTGGAGACATACCTGTCATTCAGTAAGAAAGGGAACAATTGTGTACAGTAAGGCTACAGAACACCATCACCTGCAGTTTTGCTTAGGGGGAAATAGAAATTTTTGGAAGGACTATAACTCCTATAATCCTCTAGCCAGCAATACTGACCTTTTTGTACCCTGCCTTGAGCTATCAGGAGAGGTGAGTAATAAATAAATTTTGTTGTTGTTGTTTTACTGGAGACTAAGACATGGAACAATGTCTTCAAACTACACGAAAGGAGATTCCTCCTGAACATGAGGAAGAACTTCCTGACTGTGAGAGCCGTTCAGCAGTGGAACTCTCTGCCCTGGAGTGTGGTGGAGGCTCCTTCTTTGGAAGCTTTGAAACAGAGGCTGGATGGCCGTCTGTCAGGAGTGCTTTGAATGCAATATCCCTGCTTCTTGGCAGAATGGGGTTGGACTGGATGGCCCAGGAGGTCTCTTCCAACTCTTTGATTCTAGGATTCTATGATTCTATGACTATGAGAGCCATTCAGCAGTGGAACTCTCTGTCTCGGTGTGTGGTGGAGGCTTTTAAGCAGAGGCTGGATGGCCATCTGTCGGGGTGCTTTGAATGCAATTTTCTTGCTTCTTGGCAGAAACGGGTTGGACTGGATGATGGCCCACCAGGTCTCTTCCAACCCTATCATTCTATCATCTAAGAACTTCCTGACTGTGACAGCTGTTCAGCAGTGGAACTCTCTGCCCCGGAGGGAGTGTGATGGTGATATCGAGCTCTTTTGGGGGGCTTCTCCCAGTGAAGGAGATCCCTGGAGACCGCTAAAGGGGTCCCTGTCCTTGGTGAGCGGCCAGCAGGAGCCAATCCAAAGCGCGAAGTATTAGCAATCAATCTCACCAGAGGCTGAAGAGGTATCCAGTGACCGAAGCGTTTATTTCTGCGATTCAGCTGAAAAGGATGCGTTACAGGGATATTTCCACCATAAGCATACATTCATAGGAGTTACAGGCATTTTTATACTGTCAGAACAAAGGAAAAACAGTTTGAAAATCCTGCCCACCCTCCGTCAGCTGGCTTCGTCCTGATTGGCTGTCCCTGGAACAGCTGGGAGGAGGCCGGGCCGTATGTCCCGCCTTCCCTCCAATCGCCGGGCGCTGTTGCCTCCAGGGGGCCAATCGGAGCCTTTCTAGCGCTTCTGAGGATGGTCCAATCAGCGACCAGGAGGTGGGACCTGGTTTGACAGCTCATAGGGGGCGGAGTGCCTGGGAGGTGTCCGCCAGCCGATTGAGAACTTTTGTTCTAAGCTGTGGGGTGGCAGACGGAAGAAACAAAGGATTTCCTGATTTCTGATTACAGATGTGTATAGGCATGAAAAGGGGCTATTGGTGGTATTCGGATCTCAAACTCTGTGGACAAGGGGACCCTTAATCACAAAGGAGCTTACACAAATACCATGGGTTGGGTTAATCAATCCTTCTTTCCAGGTTTCGGTTGACTTATCTCTGGCCCATTGTCTGAACTCTGAAAATGTGCCCGGAGATAGGATCAACCCCGGCCCATGCAAAATGTTAATATGAATGATTTACTTTTGAGGAAATGAGGTTTCCTCCTGACAATAACCTCAGGTCACATTCTTTTCTGGGGCAAGGTTCAGAGGGAGGAAAGGTGGGAGGGGGAGAGAGTCAGGGTGCATCTTATGTGATAGATATCAATTATAAACATTTTCTCATGCTTCATACATTTCATACATTTCATTTCTGCCAGAATTATGATCTCCTTGGCGAAAGTGCACACGCAGGCGGAGGCTGTTCCTGCCCAGGGGCCTGGTTCGGAGTCCGTGGAGAAGGTCCAAGACGATGGGGCATCAAGTCAATAAGTAAAGGCAAAAGAATCTGTAAGGGGACTTCCAGGCGGAGGGGCGTGGGGCAATGTCCTTCGGAAAACTACATTTCCCTGATCAAGGGCCAGGGTCCAGTGCACAAGCCAGAGAATTCACAAAGAAGAAACAGGAACCCAGTTATGTGTGCTGGGTCAGGAAGCAACAGAATCCATTGTCCAGCCCTTGGCGAACTACAAATACTTGGGGGAAAAAGATGCTCCGCATCAATTCCTCCCTTCGAGGCTGGAAAATGGCCACGCTCATTTTCCCAAGCCTCGACAATTCTCTAGCACCCAGGGCCTCTTTCTAGACTGATTAGATTGTATTCTGTTGATTATTTTGGGGCCCAACTTAAGCAACAACAGCAGGACCCAGCAGGGTGGGAGAGACCAGCGGCAGTGTGTCCTTTGGGTTGGAGAAAGAAAAAAAAAGACTGAAGTAAGAAGGTGAAGACGGTGGAGGCAGGGGATGATGGAGTCTGTGATGGCAGTCAGCATGGAGCACTCAGGGGTCCCGAGTGAGTCCCCAATGGAGAAGGATGGCACATGGTGGAATTCTCCCATCTGGCAGTGGTCCTCAGGCCTCCTGGGGGCGCTGGCTCCTCCCTTGGTACTGAAACAAGGAGAGCAGCCGAAGAAGAAGAAGATGGGGCACAGCCTTGCTACTCCTTCTGGCGTGGCGCCTCCTGGTGACCGCAGACAGGTCCGGCTCTCCATCATCACAGAGACTCAGGGGTAGTGTCTAGGACAGTCAGAAAGAAGGTTTACAGCCCCCCCCCACCCCCCCTTTCCCAGCCCAAGGGTAGTTAGTAGGGAAACAAAGGGAAAACTTTCATACCTAGTGAGGACTTCAGTGGTCTCCTTTGGGCCACTCCTCTGCACAGCTTCTGGAACGGGCAGGGCCTCCTTCCTTCATGGCAGTTGCTGTGGGATCCTGGTTGCTCCTCCTGCGATGGCATTCCCCCGTGGGGGCTCAGATCAGCCTCTAGGGGGGGCTGTCTCTTCTGGGCGGCATGGGGTCTGGTCCCGCTCTCCTAGGATCTTCCTGTGCCATCTGGGTTCCACACAGGAAAGTCCACAGACCTCCCATCGTCCACCTCACCCAGGTAGTTGTCCTCAGCGGCAGGAGTGGATTATGGGTCCCACAGTTCGATCTGATGTCTAAAATAAATAACCACTTTCCCTGCCATGGCTCCATGCTAGGCCCCAGCACTCTTTTGCAGAGAAGGCAATGCTACAACTCCCGGTCTCCATAGCATTGAACCAGTGCCGTTAAAGTGGTACCAAACCGTAGTGCCGATGCACCCTCTGTCTCCTGGTGGACAATCATTCTATTATGCACTAGCCGTCCCCTGCCACGCATTGCTGTGGCCCAGTCTGTATATGTGTTTTGTGTGTGTGCATATGTGTGGTTTTCTGCATGCATTGTAATGCATTTTTTTCCAATCCCTTCTGTTGTGTTTTTCAGTGTTTTGATGAGTGATGGTCACTCCTTGGCCTGAGAGGTGTCTTGTGTCCAAATTTTGTGTCAATTCATCCAGTGGTTTTCGAGTTATGCTAATCCCACAAACGAACATTGCATTTTTATTTATATGGATTTATTCATTACTGTAAGGTAAAGGTTTTCCCCTGACATTAAGTCCAGTTGTGTCCGACTCTGGGACTCTGGTGCTCATCTCCATCTCTAAGCCGAAGAGCCGGCGTTGTCCATAGACACCTCCAAGGGCGTGTGGCCATAGGCATGACTGCATGGAGCACTGTTATCTTCCTGTAGGAGCAGTACCTATTGATCTACTCCCATTTGCATGTTTTGAAACTGCTAGGTTGGCAGGAGCTGGACCTAACAGTGGGAGCTCACCCTGCTCCCTGGATTCGAACCTGCGTCCTTTTGGTCAGCAAGTTCAGCAGCTCAGCGCCGCATCACTGGGGATTCCTCATTGATATAAGGAAAACTAATTTATGGTTTTTTCTAACCCTAATAATAATAATAATAATAATAATAATAATAATAATAATGATAAAAATGATGATGATGATGATGATGATGATGATAATAATAATAATAATAATAATAATAATAAATCACACAGTCCTAGATGCCTGGGAAGTGTTTGACTTGTGATTTTGTGATACAAAATCCAGCATATAGATCTCATTTGCTGTGACATACTGTGTTTTTGTGTCAGTAAAATAATAATAATAATAATAATAATAATAATAATAATAAAGTCTGATTTTTCTGCAAAGAAGTCCATTTGATTGGAAGCCATGGATGCCAGATGCCAAGACATTTGGGGGCAAACTCAGCCTTTCTGAGCCACTTGGCTTGCAAATAGGGAGAAACCCCAGGATGTGCATTGGGATAGGTGAGCA